GTTACACCAGTGTTACAGTATGGTTATGGTTACCTAATCCATTCAAAGGCACTAACTACTTAGCCAAACCACAGCCCATCTAAGTAAAGCTGCTAATCCTGTATCAACGAACATGTGAAACAAGCGGCTTCATCCACTGCGTCGAGACACCGACCTGCTATCCTGATATTCAGCCCGACCCACCCATTCTAAAGCAGCAACAACGAAGCTGTGTCAGTGTCAGCACAACTCTGCTTCGATCAGGTTTGCCGATGCCTGGGGTCGCTTCCGAGCAGTGCGGGCGACCAGGACGCTTTGATTTGCTGTAGCAGGGCTCTTCCTGTGTACCCCTTCATTCTTTGCAGACTGCTCGATTGAATTTACATTCACGCCAACACTAGATGAGTCATTAAATGATGGTAGCTGGTAGCCGACTCTATAGGAACAACTCTGAAAGCAGTGGCCGCGTTTGCCACAGACTGCCGGTGAATCCGGACTCAGCCTTCAAAGTCAGCTTTTGGAGACCATCCTACAAACACCGCACGGGGGCAGGCCTTCCAAGCCCCGACTCCATCCGCCAGCAGCATCTTGGTCGTGACGAAGAGAGGGCTCTCATCAATTGGTCATGCGTATAGTCATCAAGTTTTCTCACTGTCCGAGGTCGCGGGGCTGAGCTGCGAGTCCAGGGCCCAGTCCGATGCGCTGGTCGCGAAGCCATGATGCAGGATCTCGCCTTTCAAGCACCATGCAAACCCGACCCTGCAAACCGAGGTCCATTTGCCTGACAAGGAGGCTCGGGCCATGGTCATGGTTGGCGGAATCCTCAGCTTCTCCTTGCAATTTTCAACAGTCAGGGAGTTCCGCAAACCGCGTCACTGTCACGACCCACTCCCCCCCGTCTCATTGGCCCCAGCGTGGCTGATCAGAAGCACGGGGCTGCAGGGTAGAACCCGGAGGCTGCTTCCACGCTGTTTTAGAACAGCTGCGGCGCAGTTGTCACACAAAGCAGTGCGTCTGGTGTGCCTGAGCTGAGGTGGGACAGCACCTGGATACTGGGGACGTGCCGCGCCTAGCTGTTCAGGAGCTTTTGCAGGGAACTACGCCAAGGCAAAGGCCCTGCTGCCTTCATTTTCTGTTGCTCGAGGATTTTCTAGGGGCCATCACTCGCTCTCACAAGCCTCCAGACTCCTGGGCATCGAGTCTTGCAAAACTCCTACAGCCCTGCAATATCCTGCAATGGCGCTCGGAGGAGATTGCCCGGGATTCCTCGAGGTCACTGCCGAGAGTCCTGTTGCCGAGCCTCCCAAGATGGGTAAGAGCCGGCACGGACCGATGGTTTGGGGTGTCGGAAGTTTGCTGGTCGTGGGATTGGTCTTCACGGTCTCGAAGAGTGTCCCTCGGCTTGCGAATGGCGGCAACCACCGGAGCTTGTCGGATGCGATGGGACCACAACTTGCCAGCACTGGATGCTGCCGATTTGCCAAGGAGTTCGAAGACGCCGATTGGTACAATCCGCAGACCCGGGCAGACTTCATGGCTAACGTGATGCACGTCGAGCGTCGTTTCTTTGGAGAAGCAGCAGCACTTGCTTTCGATCCCGACACTGGCATGACTTACGACGGCGTTGGCCTGGACTACCAGACTGGTGATGTCCAGCACGAAACTCTTCGAACGTTCTCGGCACCATCCAAAGAGGCTCTACATTTGAGTCTCCTGGCTTTGGCCCTTCAGCCCGCCGACGACGTGCCTGCGGAGCTGGCCACGGTGTTGCCTCTGCTTTATAGCTCTGAGGAGGCACTCGACATCCTGGAGAAGAAAGCCGGAACCATGGAGGACTTCGATGCAAACTTCCCGGGCTTCGGGGGCTTCATGCCCTGGTTCTGTTCGCGTGGCATCAACGAAGCCGGGTACTGCAAGACCCTTACAGAGCCTGGAGCAAGGATGACGCCAGTGTCTGGCTGGGAGAAGAGACTCCCTGGCCTGGATAACGGCCAGCTTGCGTTTGGCACTGTTGCGGTGGTGCATGCTCTGAAGCGCCGTGCTACGCAGGAAGGAGCCTCCAGTCGCTTTGCTCAGCTGGCCCGGCGCTGGGACGCTCGCCTGGAGCGGATGAAGGCATCCGTTGTTAGCTTGTTCTACAACGGGGCCGGCTTGGTGCGCATGGTCAGTGAGCTCGACAACATCACAGTGGATGTTGCAAAGAATGCTTCCAATGCTCACAACGAAAACGGTTTGTTTCTTTGGGATGCTTTCGAAGGAGAGATGATTGTTCTCTTCATGGACATATTCGGCAACTGGACCAAGTACCCAAACAATGGTGAGGAGGACAGGAAGCTGATGTGGAAGATCAAAGCAGAACACGTCGAGCCTGTTGTGTATACAGCCGCCGACAACACGAAGATGGTCCTGCAAAAAGGGTATTGGTTCTCCGCACACGAACAGTGGAAGACCTTGCAGCTCCCATACATGGACATCCCGCTGGTCCGGCACCTGTTTGCAAACGGTGAGTTCGCGCGCTTGGAGAATTCAGTGCAACAGGAGCTGCCTGGCCTAATGGCTTCCGTCAATGCACCCAATGGTGTGCAGTGTGACGCTCATCCCTACTGTAGTGCGGTGGGAATACAGGCATTGGCGGAGGAACCTGTTTTCAGTTTCAAGGAGGAGACAGTCCTTACGCCTTATGCCGCTTTCCCATCGATCTTGGTGGATTCAGCAGCTGGTCTCGCGTGGTACAACCACATGCTGGCCATGCCCCGGGTGCAAACACCTGTTGGCAGCATAGAGTCCTTTACAGACACAGGAAAAGCCGTGGCACCCATGGCGACCTGGGATGCCAAAGCTACCACCATCTTAGCCATGTTGGGCGGCACCGGGCCTCTGCTTCGCAATTACATGCAGGAGCAGGGACTTTATGGCGTCTTCGAGGATCGTGTGAAGTCCATGTACGGCCCAGTCTTCGAGCCGGTCATTGCAGCTGTGATGCCAAACAAGGCTTCAATCGACAAGCACATAGCACAGCTTCCAAAGCTGCCGCTGCCGGCACCTCATCCCACTCGCAAGGATTCCTTGCCGGAGGACTTTCCGAGCTGCCGTTGCCCTGCAGACGAGCGGACTCCAGGTTTCCTGCGGCCGAAGAATCCTTGAGGTGAGCATCCCGCGGCCAACATCTCAGGGCTTCGAGCTCAATGGTGATGTGAGGCTGTGCCGCTCTGGGTCTTTCAAAATGCCAGCAGTGTAATCAAACGACACGCCAGGCCAAACGGCTAAGTTTTGAGGCACCCAGCAGCACTAATTCGCCAGCTTTGGCTGTACTCCTGAGTACATTGTACATGCCTAGAACCTGGACGATTTTGTTTTGATTTTGTATTGCTGATTCTCTGGTCCCTGGTGGTCCAGACAGTCTGTATAGAGGTGGTTGTAGCGCGCTGCTTACCCGTGCTGCCGCGCCGCAGCTTCTTCTTTTGAGCAGCCCTTGTGGCTCTACCTGCTGCACGCTCAGCAGCAAGTGCTGAGCATAATCTGCTTCGAGCGCGCTGCTTTAGAAACTACAGCAGCGTGCGAATTCAATCTGCGGATTTGCAAATTGTGCAATTCCTTTGGTCCGAGCTTCAATTGCTGGTCTTGACTTCTCAAAATGACAGCAGTGAACTTAAACGACACGCCGAGCCAAAACACCCAGCAGCACCAGTTCGCCAGCATCTGTGTATATGCGTATAGAGCCTGGACGATTTTGTCTTTGATTTTGTATTGCTGACTCTCTGGTCCCTGGCGGCCCAGACAGTCTGTATAGAGGTGGTTGTAGCGCGCTGCTTACCCGTGCTGGCGCGCCACAGCTTCTTCTTTTGAGCAGCCCTTGTGGCTCCACCTGCTACACGCTCAACAGCAAAGTGCAGAGCATAATCTGCTTTGAGCGCGCTGCTTTAGAAACTACAGCAGCGTGTGAGTTTAATCTGCGGAATTGCAAACTGTGCAATTCCTTCGGTCTTGCCATGTGCCATTTGAACAGACTGTTTTCCATAGTGCTAGTCCCTTAGTGGAACAACATGTTGGGAGCTTCACCTGCTTTGTCCGAGCTGTGAGCTTGCGAGTTTCTCAGCCATACTTAGCAGACAAAACAATCATTGACAAGCAACTCTGTTTCACGAAAGACTTGGTAAAGATCTGCACTATGACAGGTGGAGACGAGACTTGGCAGAGGACAGCTAGGTCCCCTCCGCGTGTGGCCATGGCAATTGTGCAGCAGCATCAAGTCTGGCTACGAAGCCGCTGTTAGACTTGTCGTGTATCTGGCATGCTTCCTTATAAGGAGAGCCGCCATCTAAGTACAAGCGAAAGTCTTGATTAAGAGCCTTAAGCTGAACATGACAGTTCGGGGGCAGTCTGCACGGCACGAATATAGCGTTCTCAATTCTGTCCTAGAAATTTCACATCAAAGCCGGGGTCGCCCCTTGGAAAACCGATCCGTCGTAATGCCGTACATGCTTCTGTGGCTTTGGCCTTCAAGTATGTTCAAGTCTTCGTGGAATTTTCACGATGTCCGGCAGGTACAAAGGCTTTTCTTGGGGGCCTCGAGCAGAGCAGCCATGTCCTTGATTGAATTCAAGAGATGAGGAGAGGGTAGGCTCTTGCAGCTTGCAGTGCATGCTGTCCACTTAAAGCTTGACGCTGGCGCTGAGGGATCCATTGTACCCAGCTCGAGCCGGTCACCCAGCCCGGAGACGTAGTAGTCATACTGACACGCTGTACTTGTAGCAGCCGCTTTGCCGCGGAAGCAAAGCCCTGGACTCGGTCGCGCACACTCCTCCGAGCTTTGAGCCAGACACGACCGGGAGAAACATCAGCTGCGTGTCTTGACATTTAAGGCCACCCAGCTCATGATGGAGTGCCGAGCTCTCAGTTCTACATTCATGCAGTTTTACTCGTCAAAGATTTATAACTTGACTGTCAGTTCCCGCCCGCAGCTAGGCTACGGTTGCTGGCTGAATGGACTAGCTCGTGGGATGGTCCAGGGTGGTTTAGACTGTTGGATCCTACCTGTATGGGAATAGTTGCTGAACGGGGTGCCTTCGCGAAGCTGCATAAATCGGGCATGCGCAAGGCTATCTGTGGAGTACAGTAGCTGCGCTTGGCTGCGGGTACAATGTCAGCCGACACATAGCTTCCACTAAGTTCCCAAATCCTCGCACTGTAGGCGCACTCAATGACAAAACATTGCAGGGGTTGGAAATTTAGAATGTTCTCCAAAGCTTGGCAATTCTCCTGTTCTTCACGTCTTCACGTCGGCGGACATTTCGTGCGCGAGCAGCATCGCAATACTGTGCATGCTCGCTCGAAGCATCTCGGAGCCAAGAGCATCTCGAAGCCAAGACTCCGAAGTGCAAAGCGGTGCTTATTGCATGAACACAATTGATAGAGGCTTGAATGCCAGACTTCTGGGACGGGCCGAGTGCTCAGCCATCTTATTACAGTTCGCGCCTATTGGTCGAGGTTCGTGAGCAATCCCCTTCAGTAAATGCTGTGAAGTCCACAAACGCTCCATGTGGAGAGGTCGCTTGTATGGTGTGCGAATGATTAAGGTGCGAGATCAGCTGAGCTTGACATACAACTGCGAGGCATTGCATGTTCTGACATGCTCTACGTAGGTCAGACACTACTCGCGTCTCTCCACAACATCTTTGCTCAGCGCTGCCTGTTTTAGGAATGTTTGCACGCGTGCCTCGAACTGCCTTGTCTTGGCAGAGCATCATGTCATGCCAGATTGAGCTCACCATGTTCGAGGGCTTCGATGCTGGACACTTTATGTGCAAGGCGCCGGTGGTGTGTTTGTGGCAAGCCGAGGCGACTAGGTCGCTAAAAGCTAGAATCGGTAGAGGTAATTCACCTGTCGATCATGCTGAGCACTTCGCAGTTTGTGTAGATCACCGACCCCACCTTGTCGGCGGAAGAGTTCTCCAAGCAAGATTGTTAAGGGCATCGAGCAGATTGCTATTTCAGGAGGAGGTCTGCCATGTCTGAGCCAATAGGAACCGTCCCTATGAAACAACACCTATCTTGCCCCGGCAAGTAGACCAACCTGGATCCAAGCCCTTTCTCATGGCTTTGCAGGTCTTTACATTCCCTCAGACCGTGGCCCGTGCAGCAGTCCAAACCTCAGCATGTGACACCAACATGTCCCCTCTTGGCCGTTACCCGACAATGGGTCGGCACTGGAGATCATGAGCATGAGGCATGCTGATTCGAGGGCAGATTCGTTCCTGTCGGCGTTTTCCTTTTCTACTTAGTAGCACAATGACATAATGAGTGCTCCGACGGTGGTCGCTTGAATCTGCTGTCGACCAAGGGTCGACAGCCATGAACCACCACGAGCTTGCAGTTCACCTGATTCTGGTTTCAGGTGACATCACAGAGTCTCGCCTTGTTTGTCAAAGTCGTTGGAACCAGTTGGTTTGCTCGTATTTAGGAATTTAGGATTGGCAGTGGCACGCAGACATTGCGCCACACCGCACAGTAGCTGATTGCCTTCACCTCTCCACTGCCACACCCATCCAAAACCAATACCGCATGTTTCGCATACACAAAGCCGCAAAACTCGAACCTAAGCCTCGCCTGCATCGTTCGAGTCGCGAGAGTCCAAAACCCGAACCTGCAAGCAATTGGACCGCTAAGACCCTTGGATTATTGATACGGTATAAGAGTGTCAATTGTGATACTTTCAGTGGTGCGCCTTACCACATGTTACCACTTTCCTTTTGGAAGCGCGTGCCCGAAAGCCGACATCAACACATCAAACCACATCGACACTGCAGTTTCACGGTTGGGGATGTTCTTTGCGAGCCTGTGTGCCCAAGTACCACATCCACTTGTAGAAAGATGGTTCATTTCTCCTTTGTCCTAAAGGACAGTGCTCATGTTTGTTTGCAGCCGTCGGACGTCGAGCACATGCTGTCTTGCTCAAGGCACACCAGCTTTGATACGAAACAACCTTGCCAGAAGATGATGAATGTGATCAAGGTTATACTTATAAGATTACTAGAAAGACGGTTTCTAGAACCAGGCAAGTCGTGTGCATCATTCGAAGGATCAGTGAATGTGATAACTGATGTCGTTTTCACGAAAGCTCGCGTAGCAGAGCTTGAGTTTAGTCTTGCTTTTAGCAGGGAGGCAGTGCAGGGCCAGAAACCAGTGTATTATTGATAGTATCAATTTAGGG